TTAGTAAGAAACACGAGGAAATTCAAGACTTCAGGATTTTTACTGCCTTTTTAGATTTACTTAAATGAAGCGTTCAATGAATGATCATCATATAAGCCACATTGCTAATAATCCTTAGTTTACATGACGGGCAAACCAACAATTTTTAGGTTAATTACGCAAGTAAAATACAAAAAGACTATTACATTAACAGAATTGGAAAATGATCTTTAAACTTTGTATGGTGTTTAAGGCCATTGTATTATTGTAGGCTACAATATAAAACGCATTAAGACAACTGTTTTTGTGATTTGACACTGTATAAATAAAACTGAACATTCAGTGTATAAATAATTAGAGATTTTAAAATAAGATATTAAATACATAAAGTAAAAAAATCCATCTGTTTAAAATTTATCCATAGGAACCCTTCGAAGATGATAGAAAATACTGTGTGGTAAAAATACCCCAAACATTGTTTTTAGGAATATAACAGTGTTTTCTATTACAATACATGTAAACGTAGTGTTGCTCTTTATTTTGCAGTAAAACTTGAGCACAGGGCCATAGCAAAAAAATATTCATTTTCTTATTTTGAAAGCATGACTGTGATTTGTTTTGATCTTGATCTTGACTCAGCTCTATAACAGTCATTAATGGACAGTCCAGTTTCTTTGCAAGTTCAGTTTTGCAATAAAATCTGATTTTCTAATGCGATGCATCTTCCCACCTGAAGATCCACGACCTGCAAATTAACGAATCACACATTACATCACACTGCATATTATAGAGTACTATTTAATAGGTTATTTAAAAAAAAATACTTTAATCTGACATTCAGTCCATGTCTTGTTATTTAAATATCTATGTCATGGTCCTGGGTTTTTTGACCCAGTGTTTGAGTTTTGCTGTGTTTCTTGTAATTTTATATTATGTTTAAGTCCACTCGTTGTTCTAAAGGTTAATTCTTTAGTCCCTATTATTCTGTTTAGATTTTGTTTATTAGATTTCCCCCTGTGTTGTCGCCCTCTGTGTGTCTGTGTTTATATAGAAGTGTAAGTCCTTGTGCCCTGTTCCCCCTCCTCGTTTTATTCCATCATGTTTATCCATGTTTCCCTCGCTCTCTCCCTCTCATCCGCCTCTTCTCCGCTCCCGCATCATGTTTCCTGTTTTATTGTGAAGGTCCCGTGTTTTCATGTTCATTCTGTTCAGTCTGGTTTCCCCGGTCTTGTTATGGTTACTAGTGTCAGCTGTTTTCGTCGTGCGTTCTCACTCCCTCGTTATCTTTCTGTGTATTTATGTCCGTCCTCCCTCTTAGCTGTGTGACACTCCCTGTTTTCCCGTATACGTACCATGAGTATTTTCCCAGTTTAGTTTTTGTAGCATTTTGCCTTTTTCCCAGCAATAAAACTGTGTTTTTGAGTTCACGTACGGTTTCCATTTTTTGCATTTGGGTCCTTCTCCTGCCTGCACACAGCTAGTTCATGACAATCTATAGAAGTTTACGTGACATAACTAAAGTTTTATCTGTCAAGTAGAAAGAAGAGTCTCACAAACATGCATTTTGTTTGTCTTTAATAGATACACATTAAAAGAAATTAACAAAAAATACACTTTGGCTGTTAATACTTAATACACACAGAACTGTCCAAATGTTCAGCTGATCAACTCTTTGACAAAAGTATTATTATTATTAAAAAAAACAACAACAAAAAACAGCTAACTAACAACTATGTACAACAGCTTTTATTTACTCCTTTGCCCCAGGGGGTCACTACAGCTGGTAGCTCCATATGTTTGATTTGGCAGAGTTTTACACCAGAAGCTTTCTTGACACAGTCCCAGAGGGATTTGTGAATCTGAATTTTTTGGCTGCTAAGCAAAGGTGTTAACCACTAAAACACTAGAGGTGCTAAATAAAAAACAAACAAACAAACACAAAAAAAACCCCTAAAAATCCCACACAGAAAACTATTTACTATTGTTAATATAGTGAAATGAATATATATAGTGAAGTGAAGTGAAATGAAACCATTTGATAGCAGTGTAGTAGTCGGGGGTTAGCTTTTGAAGAAGCCAAGTGAAAAAATAATCCTAGAATATGGGATTATACTCAGATCTTATTATACAGATACAATTTTTCTCATGCATATATGTGTGTATTTTTCATACTGTTAAATAGCATCGAAAAGGAGAGTAAACACTGAAGATTGCCTTGCAGGATTTAGCTACATGTGTCAGAAGTAACAGTTTTTATGCGGTTGTTACTACACAGGAATAGAGCACAGCAGAGAGGCAAATGATAGCTGGTCAGACTGTGGTTGTTTGGAGCTTCTGCAAGATCTGTGCTGTTTTCAGTCTGTTGTGGTGGGACTAAACAGTTGATTTAGTTTTGAATGATAATGAAACATCAACAGGACTTTTGTATATCAGATCATTAAAGCTGAGTTTGTGATTTAATACATGTAACTGAGAGGTCCTTAATGTTAGAAATGTAAAAATTCCCTGACTGTGTTAGAAATCTTTCTTTTTTTATTCACTATGAGAGGGAGCACACTGTGTGACAGTGCATCAGTTAGATAACAACATACGTGTAGGTCTTGCTTGGCTTCCTCAAATTATTGCCCCAAAATAATATTGCACGACTCTACAGTTTGATAGAGACTTGTAAAGAAAGAAAAACAGCGTGGTTAATTAAAGTGGTCACTGGTATTTGTATTTATTGCATAAAAAACCCCTTAAAACATGAATCGACTGACTTTGTCTGTAGTTTCTATAGGACATGATTTTCTGACAAATGGCACCATAATGATTATTGTAATTATGCACAAATTTGCATGTAAAACACCTGCTGATATTTACCTGCTGATCACTTTACTAGTATTATATACAAGGATTTTTGCCAACATTACAGCACAAGGGTGCTAATCAACTGCATTAGCTTGTTCTATACAAAGGGTTATTGCATGAACGGGCGATCGTGGCTCAAGAGTTGGGAGTTCGCCTTGTAATCGGAAGGTTGCCGGTTCGAGCCCCGGCTTGGACAGTCTCGGTCGTTGTGTCCTTGGGCAAGACACTTCACCCGTTGCCTGCTGATGGTGGTCAGAGGGCCCGGTGGCACCAGTGTCCGGCAGCCTCGCCTCTGTCAGTGCGCCCCAGGGTGGCTGTGGCTACAATGTAGCTGCCATCACCAGTGCGTGAATGTGTGGATGACTGGATATGTAAAGCGCTTTGGGGTCCTTAGGGACTAGTAAAGCGCTATATAAATACAGGCCATTTACCAATTCAGTATTGCAGTATTAAACTCAACATCTGTTTGACTAAATTTATTTTTACATAAAAAAAAACAACACACACATTTAGGTAACTATCCAAGTTCCTCTCTTCTGTAGATTAAATGAATTTTGTGAAATGCACACTGGACTTATGATTATATAATCCGTTATATTACAGTAAATGCAAGAAAATGAACTGGGCAGCTAGTACATTGATCCATGTGAGACTAAGTTTTGCATTCTAACCTGTTGTTCCTCGACTGGTCGTCGGATGAATCGATGTAGCATTAACTTTAAATGACTCCTAAACTTCACACCAACAAATGCATAAAAAACGGGGTTCAGGCAACAGTGGGAGAAAGCAATGAGCCTGCACACGTAAAATGCATAGTCAAGCTGGGTGCTTGCTTTACATTCAATTAATGATGGGACCACATGAGCAGGCAAGGCCCTCAAAAAGATGACAACATTGTACGGCACCCAGCCAATGAAGAACACAGTAACTATACAAAAGACTAACTTGACTGCTCTGTTCTTCGTGTGAGATCTTGTTCTTGTGATTCTTTCTAGTATTTGAATGTAGCAAAAAGCCATGACTGCAAAAGCAACTAGGAAGAAGCCATTCTGTTGGATGACACCAACAGTTTCCCACATGGGATGACTATATTCACAGCCCTGTGACTCTTTATCGTTGTGGTGGACCTTGGTGATTGAGCTGAAGAGGAGGGAGGGCATGGCTGCTCCAGTGCTGATTATCCAAATCAGGAAAGACAGAAACACCCCAGTGGAGTATTTAGGTGTGCTGAGCTCAGACAGAGGATGGACCACAGCCAGGTACCTGTAGATGGTCATGATGGTCAGGAAGAGAATGCTGCTGTAAAACCCAGTGAAGAAGATAAAAGTCACAACTTTGCAGAGAATTTCAGAAAACACCCATCCCCGGACGTGGTAAATAGCCCAGAAAGGAAGACCGATGGTGAAGAACAGGTCAGAGAAGGCCAAGTTGAGGATGAAAATGTTGGTCAGAGATTTAAGATTTTCATACAAAGCCAGGATTATGAGGACAAGAATGTTTCCTGTCAGGCTCAGTGTGATCACAACAGAGAAGAAAATCGGAATGGCAAAGGATCCAAATATCACAACTCCACTCTTATCACAGATTTCATCCTCATAGTCATCGTCATAGCTGAAGTTACCAAAGGTTAAATTGGCTGGATTTGCCATTTCTGTCACACAGGAACCTAAAAAATAAACACAAGTGTTTGTTTAAGTGACATGTTACAATAGATTTTTCTTTATGAGTAAAAAACAGCATGGAAACAGCAGATTTGAAATAAAGTACCTTCTGCTTGATGAAATCGATAGCTTCCCAGATGAGACACCTTCTGTGGCAGCGTAAAAAGAGAATCATTTATAAACTCGTGACATTGTCAGTTTCTGCTTCTGTTTTTGTGGCCACACCTGTTTTCACATATAGTAAATAGGTGACCTGTGATCTTTTCTGGTTGTAGCATTATCCGCATATTTGCCGACTTTATAACAACGGAGCTCAAAATTCTGAAATTGTTTCTTCTGCGTCTATTTCCCCCCCCGAGAATATATCACTAGGTAAAACAAGGAAATATACAACTTCAGGATACATTTGTTTTTTAGATTTTACAAACCCAATTCTAAAGAAGTAGAATGAACTGAAATGTTCAGTTCATTTTTATTTCAAACATGTGCGTTCACAATCATTACAAAATATCATTCCATTCTTTTGTTTGAAAGGGAGTAGGCAGACATATACACCTATTAGTCCCTACCACCTCAAACAAACAACATATGAAGCAAATGTAAAGCAAAGACAAAACAAACAAACAAACAAACAAAACAAATAAACAAGCCCCACAATAATGTCAATAAAAGAGAATGCAGTTATTTGCATTCACAAATATATCTGAAGTGAATCAGATATCAGGTTTCAGACTGAGAAAATGTACGGTTCTAAGTAGAAAAAAAGGTCCCTTTGAATTTGATGGCAGCAATACATTTAACAAAAAGTTGGGATAGGACCATGTTTATCACTCTGTAGCACCCCTTCTTTTAACAGCAGTCAGTAAATAAGTGAACACTATGGAGACTAATTTCTGGACTTTTATGAGAGGAATGTTGTCCCATTCTTTTCTGATATAAGATTCTAGCTGCTTAACAATTCTGGGTTGTTTTTGTGTCATGATTGGTCAATTGTTTGGTGAAGGACCTGAACTGCAGGCAGTGTAGTTCAGCACCTGGAATATACGTAGATGTGGTTCATTTAGCATTGGCTCGCTAAACTTTTCCAAAACCTTCCCTGAGAAAAGATGTCAATTGTCTATGTCTTTTCCTTTCCTATCCCCCAGTCATGTCTGTTCCAATTATAATAACTTAAAAGTTAAGAATGAATGAAGGAATAAATAAATATTTTTTTAAATAAATAATAATAAACATCAATCAAGTGGACCAGTATGGTAAAGCCATACTTTTCAACTTGGAAAAATTAATCTGCTGGGCATTTTTCTTGGCCTGCAGATAATAATTCTGATTGCTAAAGCAAAAACAAACAAACAAACAAACAAACAAAGATGTCAAGCTGCTCATGCCATAGACACTAATATGTACCCCCATACCATCAGAGATATGCTGATCACAAGCTAGATGATCCCACTCCTTTAATTGCTGTCCATCCATCCATTATTTGCTGCTTCAATAAGAATTTTTTTTCTTCACCGAGTTTAAAAAACGAAAACGACACTTTTAGAAATGAGAATTGATACTCACTACACTTTCACTTCAATGTTCAGGCACTTCTTGAAAGTAGTAAAATTAAAGCAAATTCTCTGGCTTCTCAAAGAACAGAAAATCCAAATTTTGCATTCACGGCCATAAATAGGGAGACAAACCAGAATCTTCAGGGTTTTTTTTGTTTGTTTTTTGCTTTACCTCAACTATAGTGATATCACCAAAACGTGTTTCAAATTATTTGTGCTCCTGTGGAAGCTGTAAAGGTTTAAAAATAGGGTGTTAATACTAGAAACAGAAGTCCACATTAGATGTCACAATATCTGTTCTGCGGCACACCAAATTATTAA